ATGGCGTATATATACGTCGGCGACAGCCAAAGAGTTAATAAAAGAACATGTAAATAACCGAGAAAAAAATCTATTTCAAAAGAAATTGTTCAATTTAGATATTGAATCGAATCGATCGAGTGTTGCTTTATATTTTTGAAACTATATGTCATAATTTTCAACATCTTACCTTTTTATTGTTGTAATTTCTTGGTATGCAACAAAATGTAATAATTTTAGAATGCCGTACAATGAGATTCTTGTAACTTCTTTTCAAATATTGTAATATACCAATCTTCAACAAATGAAAATAAACTATATAATCCTAATGATTTCTTTTAATGAGAAGTATCCCAAATATTGCCGCAATCAAAAATAGACTTATCCATCGCCTATAGCTGTTTATGTAGTCAACGTTAATGGGAGAGGATGGAAAAAGAAAGATGAAAGTATTACGAATGAAGAAAACAATAAACATATCATACAATAATTATTCTTACAATTTTTATCTTTCTTCTCTGGTCATAGCACATCTCCCTCTTTTTCTCTATTGCCTCTCTCAGATATACACATAGAAAAAAAAAGTACATCTCGCATACCAATGAATGCCGTAAAAAACATGATTTTCAAACCGGTTATATATAATTATACTGCTCGATAAACAAATGATGTTGTGTTACAATGAGACTATTAATCGGGTATAATGTATAATAGCAAAGATATGATATATTTATACAGTACCGTGTTACTTGGATCAAGAGTATTAGGAAAATAGTCGGTTTATTGCTTTCAAGTTGGTGTTCTACTGAAACACTGAATTATTTGCGCATCAACCAATATGATGACATAAAATTTGTTGACATGATGCATATTCACTGGGTCCACTCATATGCGAAGTATACTTTTTGCTATATATGCGTCTGATAGAAGACAGAAAAAGCAGAAGAGGTACTATGATCAAATTGGAAAGAAGAAAATAAGCCATATAAATTGTATCTTTGTCTTATCTTTCTTCTTCATCAAAAATAGTTCTATCACCTCTATTTCTCATTTTCTTTCTAATATATATTCATTAAGAAGAAAACTGTCATCATATACAACTGTTTCCATAAGTGGATGTGCTATAAGCGACCCGCATACCGTCCTAATACTTCATGGAGAAATAAAGCTCTGTCGAATTGAACTGATGAGATATATATATAGCATTTTGCCAAAAATAGGATGTTGTAGTTGGTGCTTTGCTAGGACACACACGACTACAAAAATATATGATACGTTAACTGCCTAAAGTCGCAGTTTTGAAACTACTTAGTGGCGTGAAGCGAATCGTAAATAAGTTTTTTTTTTGCATAGAAAATCGTGGATGAATCATCAAATCATTTCATTATGGACATGTTTCTGCATTTAGTATTATTACGATTCGTGGTTTGCTCACATACCATATAATCCTAATAAATAGGTATGTGTGCGATCGGGATGACATCGATTTCAGTTTACACGCGATGTCTTCTAAGAGGATTATAAGAAAGTGTTGAAGATGGGCAAAAAGAATCATAACTTGATTTCCGAACAGAACTTCTTTTATTTGAATATTCTCTTCTTTTTCCATTAATAATATTTGCCTCTTATTTTTATCGTTCTCTTTCACTAATGATCAATTTATAGAATGCTGTAAAGAACGAGCAAATTTATTGTAGATTGCGATGACATCCGAGTGAAAAAATTTTAGCGATTAAAATTTATTAATCTTTCAAAAACTCTATGTCCCTAATCAAAATTACTGACACGATTATTCTGCACTAAAACTCAAATTATGACCGTTTACTGTGCAATTAGAAAATTATGATTCATTAAGAAACTCGATTATTATCGATTATATTTCGGGTTTTGTTTCGCAATAGTCATAGTGAAAATTCTCATGTAATTGACTTCAACTCGATTTCGATTATTTTTTTAACTGTTTTAATGGTTTGTAAACGATAAGATAAAATATAATTAAATAGAGACCTTTTCCGTCCGAAAAAAAGATCACGAAGAAATCAATTAAAGTCAGTTTTTCTTTCGTTACATGACAATTATCTGCTCTTATTCTATGCTACCTAGTCATCAATTTTAATCGATTTTTATTATATACATTCAAGATATGCGATTTTCTCGATATTCGAACACAAAATCCTAATTTTTTTATGGTTTTTTTTTATTGATCGCGTATAGAAAACATGAAATTATCTCACACATTGAATAAAAACGTTTTGAAATCCAAAAATTAACTCAAATTGATTAGATTATTTTAACTCTTTGGCTATCGCCGACATATATATACGCCATGAACTTTGTTAATGCACAAAATTGACACAATCAATCGTAATGCATGTTTTTTTAGATTCATTTGCATAGAAATAAGCATCCGACAACTGAAGCTTGTGATATCATCATTTCATAATGGTATGCTTTAGAATTGTGTGTTAGAAAAAAGAGTGTGCATATAGAACAGTCAGTTTGGTGTAGATATAGCTATCTTTTGTCCCCTTACTTCTTTTCTTTATAATGGATGATAAGCCCACACGGTATATCTTTCTCGTTTATTTTTATACATTCGGGTTACTTCAGTGCACTTTCTTGTCTTCTGTTCTTTCTTTCTTTCTCTCTCTCTATATATATCTCACTCGAATATATTCTAGAATGTTTTTTCTTGTACAAGCCAAGTATATGTATATGTCACACTCTGAAAAAAAATGGAGCTTTACAGAACCTTTTGGAGGGGGGGTTCTGTTGTTGGGTACTAGGCAGAATCCCCAAAAGATGTTTCTACCTGAAAAAGGATTCCGTAATGGATTGACAAAACCATTTCTGATTTTTATTAAAAATGGTTCTGTCCTGCATATAAAGTGTTACACCATTAACAATGATTCATCATTAAACCTTTCTTAGTTTGTACCAATGGGTTCTGTACCTTAGATGCTATTCAATGCTACGATATGATGTCATCTATACCATTATTCTATCTCCTTGCAACTATACCCTTATTCTATATCCTTACAACTATATCGTTATTCTATGCCCTTACAACAATACCCTTATGACTATACCCTTATACCTATATCCTTACATCTGTACTCTTATATATACCCGTACAACTGTACCCTTATGACTATAACCTTACAGTTGTACCTTATTTCTATAATCGTTACAACTATACCCTTATACCTATAGGCTTTTGATTATACCCCGATACTTATTTCCTTATATTTATATCTTTAAGACCATACTGCTGTACCTGTATGCTTATATGTATACCGTATAACTTAGTCTTATAGTATACCCTTGTGTGTATGTTTTCATAGATATAACATATGCAGCTACACGCTTAGAACTATATACTTGCACCTATAATCGTTCCTTAAATACTCTATCACATTTGCTAGATGCATAGTTGAACGATGTGTGTCGGGTAACAATTAGGCATGACGTAGTTCGAATGAATTTATTGTATTTGATGTTGTATGGAATCGGTGAAGATGGATGACATTAACGACTGTTTAGGAAGAAACACGATAGGAAATGGCGATCGTATACCAGACTGTTTACAACTGACGTATGCGATGCCTTACAATATTATTAGAGCGTCGCTTACAGCCATCGTATTCTTAGAATTGTAAGAAATGGTGATTTTTATGGATATTACTTCAGATGGTCATAATATACCGTAAAGCATCGTTTTTTATTAGTGTAAGTGGTGACCGTAAATCATTTTGTTTATCATGAGTTCTGATCGGTATACAACTGGGGATGATTGACCTAGTCAAGAATAAATATACATAATTTTCTGTGGTTGAACAGAATCAGTAGAAGTTTCTGCTTTCATATATTAATAATGCCATAGTGTACGAGAAAACAGGTGATAAAAAGTATCTCAAAGGATTTAAAATACTATATATATATATGATAGAGTTAATATACTTTTATAGTTGTTTACTATATTTATTATAAATAAGCTACGTGTTCTGGATATGTTGGTGATTTATTTCAATCTTATTCTGAAATAAATAGCAGCTAAACGATATAAACAAAGTGAAAATGTTGAAAAAGGAAAGAATATTTATTCCACATTGATATCGGAAATAGATGAAAACATTTTCGATCGTCGAGAAAAGTCGCTCAATTTGTACAATAGCGTATCAAGAAATAAACGAAGGAAAGAATATGGGATGAAACAGCTCTGTCGAATGTACACTAAACTACATTTAAAAACCATGTTTTGTAGCGAGCTTTTCAGAAAAGATTTCACAATAATTATATGGTGTACCATATTTTCTCTGTCAAGTCCTATTATTATTTCCTATTTTGATTGAGAAACCCTGAAGAGTTCTTCAGAACTGACAGGATCTTTTCTGTTTCAGTATCTTTGGATACAACACTTTTTATAGTTCAGCATTTTTTGACAGAATCTTACAAGGTTCAATATTACTGGGCAGAACCTCTTTAGGTCAGCATTCTTGGATGGAGAGGGTGTGGGTGTGAGTGTGAGTATAGATATGGATGTGGTTGAAAAGTAGATCCACACCTAGACCCTCACCCACACCCGCGCTCTTCAATTGAGCATTCAGTGATAACATTAGGCAACTGTCTATCAGTATCTTCGCTTTATAGATGTACAAAAGTAAGAATATGTTGATTGGTATACATGAGCAAGAACAAATTTTAAATAGAATGTAAAGTTATGTCAGCGTTATGAACTTCAAATATTTTGACTCTCAGAAAACGGCATGTTTTTATAAATCTCTCAACGCTTTGTTTTGAAATAAAAATTCACTTGGACTGATGATGAAGGTGTGAATGTGAGTGTCGGTAGAAGTATTACACACACCCCACGCCGTTATACTCGAGGAACAACGAAAGTTCTAACTTCAAATTTGCTAAAAATCGTCGATAGTTCGGTTAATCGCTTGTTCATTTAATCAAAATATCAAAGATAGTAAAGTGATAAAACAGTAGAATGAAATGTTTGATCAGTACTCTTTTTAATAAATGTTTGGAAATAAACGCCATTGTACAATATTTGTATATCTTTTCCAATCTGATCCGAATTTTCTTTTACAAACTTCATTATCTCGTCTTTCGCGGTGTATAAAACATAATATTAGGTAAATAATGTATGTATACGGTATGAAGTGATTAAATGAACACAATAAACACCAGCCAATACTTTGCAATATATCACCTGTTAAATTCATACGTCTTGCAATACCCCAACAACCTGAATACAATAATTTTGGTCCACGTTTTGTTTCTATATATTTTGGTGTATTACAACGGTAAATACCAAACAATACTTGAAGCACATAATTATAGCATCCTAGACCCCAAACACATGATGTATCATAACTAAAATAATGTTTTTGTATGTTAGCAATTCGAAATAATAAGAAACCACCAATAGACAAACATAAGCAAAATATCAAATACAATGTTGATAAGGTTTGTATGGACGGAGAATGTAGAGATAAATAATGTGTTTGAATTGAAAAAAAGAAAGGTACAAATACAATATCACCCTAAAATACACATAACGTATTTCTAATAGAGTGAACGCGCAAGTATATTTGCTGTATCCTTCGGAACTTGAACATGGACAAGAACCTTTTAGAGCAGATTCCTGATGAGTAGTTTGATGGAGCTACACCTTCCAAACATATCTTCTATTTTCTAAAAACCAATACGACATATATTTGCAACAACTTGCGGATTTAGTAGAGTAGTAAAATTTTTTCAATATTGCGACAGGTCAATTTTTCCAGTGACTTTAAGAGTGATGTCAAAACTATTTTTTTTTTGGAACAAAATGAAGTTTCTATTATCCGGTTGTCTTTTTGGTACTTTTTTGGAAAAATAAAACGTGTCAGCTTATTTAACATTGTGTGAGAGTTTTTTTCCCTTGAAGTAGTTTTACTCTAATGTATTTTTCATACTTTAAGTATATATCGGTCGGCCAAGGTATGAAACTCGATCTATGGTATAATTTTTCATACGGAAGTATTTCGCATGAAAAACTTTATTAAAACATGATGAAAAACAAACAATTTCGTGGGAATTATTGACTGCTTATCATGTTTTAACATTTGTTGCGTCGTAACCTGTTGAGGACAAACTTTTTTCAGTCAAAAAAAAATTTTTCTTTGAGCAAATTACTATGTTTGATTCAAAATGATTACATAAACGCCCTACGGTAATCGAAAGCATTAGTTTTCTCATTTTTTTTAACAAGATGCTAATTTGCAAGTGTCACATTGGATGTGTGAGTGTCCTCTAGTTCATGCTAACAACCACACTCATATCGACGTCCTAGACCCGTGCACAGTATCAAAGAGAGAGAAGAACATCTGAGAAAAATTGGATAAGAAAGACAAGGAAAAGAGCAGGTATTACCAGGTGACAGAAGGGACAAACTAAAACCTGAGCAATTCTAACAACTTCATGCGAACGAAAGGTTTTCTCTCTACTGAAAAACACCGATGGTACAACATATGTACTGCCGTGCGCAACGAACTAATCTAAAGCCATTATATATAGTTAGAACATCAAACAATGAAAAATACTATTACTTTGCTCAACAATGACCAGTCTTCGTATAAAATCTCATAAAATATGTTGTTTCATATCCTTGTTCAGTAAAAAATTGTTTTTCCGTAGAGTTAATTAATCTGAAGAACTTTTCTATATCATAGTATGTTTTCTGAACTCTATACTGAAAAGACGTATTCAAAAGAATTATTTTTGACATCATCCTCAACATCGGTGGAGAAATCAACTTTTCGTAATATTGAAAATTTCACTAGTCCATCTAAATATACGTGCTCGCTAGTTATTGCAAGGTTATATCGTACTAGGCATTGTCTACAAACTGGTAAAGTTTAGGGATATATTTGAGAGAGAATGGAGGTTCCACATCAATTAAATATAAGCTCCACCGATTAGTTTCGCAGAGATCTCCTAAAAAGTCTATTTCGAAAAAAGTTTTAAACTATCGGTTTACTTGTGTATAGGTCTCTTCGAATCTATTCTTTCGACTGGTAAAAAATGCAAGTGTGTACTTCGCTTTGTTCGAACACTCTGCAAAAAGTTTCCAAAGATATCATTTTTTGAAGTAGATAGTAATTAGTAATTATCTGAGATTTAATTTTTTGACTTAAGACACATTTCTAGTCATCAAAAACGAACTGGCACCTATACCCTTGACTAGATTTATTTTTCTCTCAATAATTTTCCTTATTGTGACTGATTTGAGGATATAAGATCACGAAATGAGACCGTGGACTTTTTGAGTCCTAGTAAAAAAAAAAGCAATACTTTAAGAAATGGATCCCTTTCAACAAATATTATAACCCTTCTATGATATCAAGGCCTATATCTCATCAATAGTTGCATAAATGATTATCAAATTTTTACTGTATAAATAACTAACGATTTTCTACAAATAAAATTAAAATCATCTTATTCAATTACTTTATTAACAAGTCTTGCCTATCATAAGAAATTCTGTTTTGAGTACTTATTTTTCAGTGCATTAGAAACATTGTTTATCCATAACTGTACAATGACTCTGAGTCAAAAAGTGAAAGTTTTGCCATCAATGTACTTCCATACAGTCTCTCAAATAAGAAAAAAGTGAACAAAATGGTAATATTTATTATTTTGGTTCAATCTTCTGAAGAGAAGGGGCCCATGAGGCAATGAAGTACTCACACCAGATGATTTAAGAAGCTGGTGTAAGTCTCCTACCGTTAAGTTTTTTATTTCACTGGTTTCTTATGTTGGAGGTGATGTGATCATATAAAATTACAAAACCAGATGTTGAACATTTTTAGTGTTAACAAAAAAATCAGTATTTTTAGAATACAGTTACTTGTACACCCAAAGTTTCAAAAAAAAAGTCATTTTTTCATGATATTGATTGTGAAAAATTGATTTTTATGAAAAATAAGCATGATATTCAAAATCACCATGCAAGATACACACCAAAAACTTAATTTTTCATCGTGAAATAGTTCCAATCAAAATATGGTCCGTAGAGGGAAGTAATGGTCAAAATTTAAATGATAAAAATCTGAGGAGGAGTAGGAAGCAAATTTTAATGAAAATAGTTTACGATGACAAGTTAAGATTTTGATATATTTGTGCATGCTGATTCCAAATATCACGTTTATTTTACATAAAAACCAATTTTCGAGAATTAAAATCTTGAAATACTAACTATTCTTTTGGTATTTTCTATGGAAATGTATTCTTTCATAAACTATTGATTTTTGTGCTAGTATTAAAAATGTGCAAAGTATAATTCAGTAATTTCATATATTCACACTATCCATAACCAAAAAATGGCTAAACTAAAAAAACTTAGTGGGAGGAGAAGGAAATAACCCATGGAAAAATTGCCACTTTCTTTACTATCATTGCTAGTAACGTGTGTAAAGTCCCGGTTCTGAGTTCATCGAATAGAGAATTTATTTTTCTACTAATCTGTAGACTATGCTGTTCAAATGCGTCTTTCTTGTAGGCGCAAGATGTAAAAGATTAACTGCTATTCAATCGTACAAATACGATTGTTCAGTTTCTGCAGATACTAACCAATTCATTAGAGTCTGTCCTCATCAAGATTGATGATAGAAGTTAAGTATTTAACATCACGAAACAGAACATTTTATGTTCTAGGCTTCCGTGATCTTTTCAAGGTTCTTAGTGCTCTTGCTCAGCAGAAAAAGACTTCGAATTAATGCTTGGTGTTAGTATTAGATGCATTTTACAAGTTACTGTTTACCAGCTCCAGAGTTGTCATATAAAATGTTGATTTTCATTCCATCGATTGCAGAATTTAATTTAAACAGTTAAAACGTTTAGGCTGTTGGAACTTAAATGAGAACGGACAATGGCATAACTCTGTCCGAAACGTAAATTTTTGGTTGTTTTCACATTTTCTACTTTAAAACTTTTTCTTTCAAGTATTTATTCTAATATTTTGAAAAGTACATGCAACAATGCAGAATTTCATGTAGAATTTTGTGAAATTTCAGCAGAAACGTTATTAAAACATTCTATGATTTTTTCCTTTTGTTTTTACTGCAGTTGTTGGACGACAGAATAGATATGAATCTTTTAAATTTTTCACCGACAAGAAACCCTTATTTAAAAGACTAAGGTTGACAGTTTTGTAGAAAAATCAATTCTGTATTGAATGAATTCAGCAACAGATTTTAACAATTTCACGTGCCTGAAAGACAGAAAACAAAAACCGGTCATGTATGCTGCGCCACCCGTTATATAAAAACCGTGGAACTGGGAAAGACCATATTTTACTGTAATATATGATCTCGTTATGTCAGAAAAAAAACAACATAAATGAAATGATTGGATCTTATTTTATACATGTCTTATAAAATACATCGATCACAAAGTTAACCATTTTTATAGATAGGACCGAAATGTTTTGTATAAGATAGTTGAAAACCTAGAGAATATCTCTTTCTAAAATCAGTCATCTGTATGCTTTTTTACCCATATCATCATTAAGCCGAACTTTTCTTCCATTATATCCCAGGTTGTTAGTATAGCTTCTTCAAAATAATAATAATCAGTCACAAATAATGTTTGAAAAGCTGTAATTATTAGAATAGATAATGAATAATTACCATCAAAATTTTGTATTTGTTTTTCTATAAATGAAATATTAAATAAAACCCATAACATTAAACCAGGACGTCCTTCGAAAAAAAATTTAAAATCAAAATTAAGACATCGAGGATTTCGAATATAACCCATCCAAAAATCGTATATCATATTGCAACTAATTGATTGATAACTATTTTGATAATAGGATAAAATAGATATACCAATAGCAATAATAAATGATAATATATTAGATGTTACTAAAAGTGATGTAAAATTATCAGCTAAAAATGTTGGTGATAAAATATGACAATGATAACATAGTATAAAATAAACAGTTAATGTTAATAAATATGCAATGAAACCATTTAATTTATAATCTAAACGTTTAACACTACCATCTTTATTAACACCAACTGGAGTACCTAATATAATACGACCCGGTAATTTAACAGCTAATACAACTTGGAATAATATATAACAAATTAATATAGGTATTATATGATAATGAACTGTAACCAATTGTACATGGATATCAATAATATATTGATAAAATGAAATAGTAAATGGACTTTGTAATGTACCACCATGACTTTCTGTTAAGCAATATGATACATAAAATAAAGATAGTGGCAAACACTACAAAGACAAAAGGAAAAGAACATGAGCTTTGTTTTTCTCTCAGTTACATATTTTATATTTACAATAATCATAGCAGTAACACCTGGAATACCACCAAATTGATCAGCTTTTATGTTTACCTTTTCTTTTTGTTCATCAACTAATAATGCAGAAATATGAACATTCAACAACTCATCTAAACATTAAAATAACAATGTGCCAAAAACTGAGAAGAAAAGAAAGTTTGTATTTACATGAAGAAGAGTTATATGACTGAGAAATTTGGCTACTGATTAACTTTTTTCTTTTGTTGCTTCCACTTTTCTCCATAGTTGTTGATACTAGTAATGCTAACTCATGTAGTAATTGCTTCACGTATATTATTACTTACTTCTACTTGGTACTTGCCAGTAGTTGTACTTAAGTTAACTATAATACTGATAGCAGGATATTTCAAATATTCGTGTACTTGCGACTATTAGACTATAATTTTTCTATGTAAATTATTCATCTATAACAAGTTAACAATCAGATAAAGCGTAAAAAACTATAAATTCGTCTTCTCTTTTGTTGTTTGTTTTGCTGCAGTAATGAAAGAAAGAATGATCTCCCTTTTGATTATCGATACCAGTAGTTAACGTTGTCAGAAGTAATCTCGTGAGCCCAATATTTTCTCTACAGTAGACAAACTTCAGAAGTGGTCATCATTTCCTACTAGTCGCGAACTGTAGCTTGGATCAGACGACCAGCCTGATATATAGTCCCTTGCGCTCAGTTACTTGAGCTCTCCGTACCCACCTCTAAACTATACAATATCCAGAGACTGCAGTGTACGTCATACGTAATAAGTATGTTACCGGACAGATAGTCTTAGGCACAAAGTCGTAAGACAACTTGCTGGTACCGGGATTCGAACGTCATAATCACCAAGCTATGTCGAAGTCGTTGCGCCGTATGACTACTCGGTCACCTAGCAAGTGTTTTATGCATTTGAATTTAGATCACAGAATAGGAACTTACCTTGATGGAGCTATTCCTGTATTGGGTGTGATAATTCTGACAGTTTTGCTTCTACCTCACCTCTCTCGTAGTCTATGGTAACCAGATCATTTTACACTTTGTTCATGTAGTCTTTCTAAGTTTTGTTTCAACAAACACTTGTAATTACCATGAGGAATTACAGGACGTTCAAAAAGTTCTGAGAACTAATTAGTAATATTTCTTCAATAAGAAATACATTATATTTATTTGTCTACAGCAAACGTTAGAATACGTTATAGCAATGTTCAATAGCAAGCTCAATTCATTTTGAATAATCATTTTGTATTCAACGATATGTGTCAAACTGATTGTTCGGCTATTGTTGGGTTAAATTTATTGCATATAGATAGATAACGGGTGCAACAGAATAAATGACTCCCTCAGTATTTTATCTCTAACTCTTTTTTTCTTTCATCCAAAAGACATGATTTTATCATAGAAAGATGCACCGTGAAATTCTCTACAAAGCAGCCTATTTTATCTTGGCTAAATACCGTTTATCGTATTTTAAATTGAAATCGTTTCACTTGAAAAGATTATGAGTACTTTCCAAAAATAGTTATTTTATAGTTTTTCCTAATATCGCTTTATTTGTCATTTATTAGTAACTTTCAGTTTGACACATATCAATGAATACAAACAGATTATTCAAAAGTGAATTGAGCTTGCTGTTGAACGTTGCTATATAACGTATTCTAACGTTTGCTGTAGACAAATAAATATAATGTATTTCTTATTGAAGAAATATTACTAATTAGTTCTCAGAACTTTTTGAACGCCCTATGTAAATTAATACTCGTGACCAAACGACAGATCAATGCAAAACAATGTGCACTCACATTATCCATACAGAAATGGATGCGCATCCATTTGTACAGTAATGGTGCATTAAACAGCTAGAGAAAGCAATTGTGCAATGGATTTATCAAGATGCTGTGCTTTTGACCCAGAGGTTTTTAGTAGAAACTCAATATCTCAACAATATTAAAACTTTTTGCCTTGCTATTTTCACCAAATTTCATCACAAATTCGTCCCTAAAAAAGAATTCTATATGGTCGAAAATCTTGCACGTCCGATCTGAAATGGCTCGTGAACTATTTCTTCAATTGAGGAGAAAGTAAACGTAAATGAACGTTACTTGCGATACTTTGAGCCTCAAACAGGCGTAAAAAATCTTGCAAGGGACGCGTCGAGAGCTCAGATATGATTTCGAACATAGATGTATTCGTTCTGTCCAATTCCGGATCTCTCGAAAATTTTGATCCTATCGAATTTTTACTCTCAACTCGTCAATCTATTTTCGTGCACTGTAAAATCATCGAATCTTCGAACACTCTATTGAAAACTGGACATCTTTTTGTTATTTACGCATTTTGAATGAAACAGGCTCACCTTTTTTCATGTCGTGCATACCACGAGACCAGTTGAAAACGAAAGGTGCACATAATATTTTTTTTTCCTTTCTTCTCGCTAAAATGCTTGATCGAATCCTCTTGCACATTCGTTTCTATAACAGCTATACTTGAAAAATATTAATGAAAAGCAAGCAAGAATTGAATGTGTCACGTCTTTGACCACGAGTATTCTACCTTCTTTACTTTAGACTATACTCTCGCTTTTTGTTCTCGTCCTTTTTCAATATTTTTTGTCTTCCTCTCAACTCGATTTGTTCTGTTCTATAGCTCTGCGCATAGAAATAGTATGTGCATGAAGCATATGTCACTTTCAGCTATTCTACCCAATCAAATAAATAATGAAAAATGGTCATTAAAATGCATTATTATCCATCACTAGTAGGTGAATAATGATAAAATGGCTATTAAAACGCATTTGTTTCGTTAGATGATTATTTTGACAATTTACCATATACGACCCTATTTTTCCCGGATGTCAAGCATTCGTAAATTGTACTTTCGTATTTGACGTCACATATAAGTCTCCTTTAAAGATATTTTTATCATTGCAATTATAAAAAGAAGATTCAGAGAACCTAAAAATTTTCTGATACTGACACTATGTGAAATGTTGAAATTGTTTAAAACACCTAAAAACTATGTATCGAAATCAAGTGTATGCTTATCCAATATACTTTTTTCAGAATTGCCAAGAATATTTTTTTGACCTAACGCACTACAAATTGATAGACAGATTCGGTCAAGATGAAGTCATGCTATACAACAGTCAGAAACTGATAGTCTTTATATGATGGAAAATAGTCAATTGATAATACTTAAATCGAAAAGGATCGCACTTTTCGTAGCATGACCGGCTTAATAGTTCGGATGTGGGTGTGAGTGGGGACTCCGTGTGTGTAAGTGAAGGTGTGTCGGTTGTAGCTACACATTAAACTATCGAACAATTCGATATAGTAGATCGATTGTTGACGATTTCAACGAGGGTAAGATGATGGCGTTTTATTTGTTTGATATGTTATTTTATCTTTCTAATGCTATTTTTTATGAGCAGGGTGTGGGTGTTGGTGTGGTTGTGAATGAATACCAGATCTACGCCCACATCCTACATCCACCACTTATTTGATATACCAACAGGATCTTCACCAATTAAACCAGATTCATCAGCACCAACTGGGTTGAAATAATGTAAAAAGAATAATATTCCATCCTCCAAAAAAAAAAATAAATACAATGAAAGATTGATTCAATTTAAACAAACAATAGATTATCAATGGGACGAGCAATTATAGTATCTTTAAGAATAAGTTCACAAATATATTTTCTTTTACCATATGAATTAGTAATATGATCACCAATACATGGATGCCAGCCATCAACTAGTAAATATGTTGGTACACCATAAACAGTCGCTTATGATGAAAGACGAAAATTTTTTATATTAAAGTCTTTCATACACTAGAAATATTCAATAACATAAAAATAAATAATTGACATATTTGATAAATCTTAAAAATGAGTGAATTAAGTAAACAACCAATATTATTTTTTATGATATAAAATCGATTTTTGAACTGATTCACCAACTGATTCAAGTGCAGTACAATTTATAATAGTATAACTAGAATAGCTTTTAAGAAACATCTGGTAAACTTTCTATATCAAGACAATCAATTTTATAATTAATTATTGTATATCCAGTAATCTGTTCAACTCGTTTTAGATGTTCTAAAACAACAACTCTTATTAGGACTAATTTTCCATTAGAGATTGTTAAATCTAATCTCTTGATGAATTACATTCATTGTCCAATACGATAGATTCATAACCAGCTTTAACAAATACAATAACACAATGACTCCCTTTAAAACTAGCACCACCTGACACTAGTGTTTGACATTTCATTTTCAATTTGCTTATTAGATACTACTGCCATTATTAACTTGTCATTTTTAACGTGATAGTCTGAAACCAAGTATATATATAACTATTTGATTATTGTAAATAATTGATTATTTCATATGTAAAAATATGTGAATGTTTATTAAATTGTTTGTTTATCAAGTTTCGAGAAACAAAAAAGAAAAAAGAGAAATTCGATGAAATGTGTTTATAAGCAGATAAGTTGAAAGAAAATCTACAGAAGAAAAGGAATATTAAAGATAAAGAAATTCTAAAAGATTTGCATCGTTTTACATGCATGTTACAAATTCATCTAGATAAATACAATCAACAACAAGGGAGTATCACCGTGGTCTTCTACTATTTCCCATTCAACAGTTGGGGTAAATCATTTTGAAAGTCTATTTTAAAAAAAGCTACAGATAAGAGCGCAAAGAGCAAACCAACAAACAATTAGACTGAAAAAAAGCAAAACCATTTGATTGAATATTTATAGTGGATGTTCCTGGTTCACATGGAGGTTGATTAAGAACAATCAAACAATTTGTCGAAAGAGAATGTGAGTGTGGTTACGCTAATATTCTACATCCACACCCGAAAATGTCACAGCCAAAAGAGAAGAGAAATATAGGCTCTAAATATGAGGATTTTTCATAGAGCCTGATAGATTTATTGGTTTTTGTGACAGACTGATTTGAACTTGACAGTAAGTTACTAGATAGTTTCATGAAAAAGTACGTCTTCTAAATAAAAGACTTCAGCTATTGAAGTTGATAAAGGAACATACTAAAGCGTCTATTATTAAGGAAGAAAATACTGAAATCATGATTGTTGGCATTACCAAATGATTATCTTTTATTGTCAAAGATTATTTTGATTGGATTAGCTTTTTTTCTCTCTTCTTCATAATACTATGTTGATTAGAAGCAAAAATAATTTATTTTATTACATCTAACTTTAATCTGATCATATTCAATAATATATGCAAAGCATTACCTCTCTTTCTAAGCACGCTAGAGCTTCGATGAAACCACTTTTTGTAGATGTCAAATGAAAATTGGCTTCCGTTACCACAGTTTTGGCTCATTATGTACATTCATAATTATAGAAATGTGTGATAGGACGTTTCCAGTTCAGAACCCCAATTTCAATCCTGATCATTCTTGAGAAAACTTTGAAAGATTCAGTCAGGCTTCTGATTTGCAAGGCGGTGTTGAAGATTTTTCATTAGAATTCTGATTCAATTCCTGACTATTATTATTTACAACAAATTTCCCAAGTTTATTATGTTTTTCTTCAGGATTTCTCTGAACCATGCGCAGTATTTTTCTATCGAGTTAAAACATCAAGATCATACCAGGACTTCTTCAGGATTTTGATCAGAATCTTGTCGAAGATTACAGATGTTTTCTGTCTAGTTTCTATAACAGGTTCATCTTATGATCTACGCTGAATTCTAACCTCAAATTTTTCTCAGAATTCGAAAAGTCGTGTACATAGAATCTTATAAAGAATTTGAGAGAGAAATTCCTAACAATGGTAGGATGTTTCATTCGAAGATCTTTCC